ATTAGAAGATAAATTAGATGTAAAGATACTTTTGTAGTTATTTAAGTTTCAACAAAGGTACCGGATACCTGATATAGTCTTGAAGGTCTTAATTAAATTTTTAAACAACATGCTTATGATAATTGATGATTCTAAGTTTTATGAATTTCTTACTTCTTTATTTATAGCAAAAAAGAAGTTAGGAATTTTCAACCAAAATTAAGAATGGCAGTTTGTACAAACTGTCATAAATTATATAAATCTAAGATTGTATGTAATTATAAAGAAAATAATAAGTTGACAATTATGCATTGCAATTATGAAAAATATCCTAATAATCCTATACTTTTTTACAAGAATTTATGTGGTGATGAACTCTCCTCTCTCAAAAGAAATATAAAAAATATGGTAGTTATTTCACAAATGTTATATCCTAAACCTTCAATTAAATAACAATTAAGCATCATATACTAGAGATTAGGTTTTGAAAAAATGTTTGATTAATCGGGTGCAAGAAATTATGACAGCAATATCTATACTAATATATATGATATGAGAGTTTGGAATTCATTTCCTTTCAATGGTAGCAAATTTTTTAGTTCGAAAACTGCCACCTCGAAATTAGGATTATTAATAAATTTAGACTGGTTTCAATCTTTCAAGTATACACAACATAGCACTGGTACTATTTATGCTTCGATATGTAATCTCTCTAGGACTGAAAGAAATAAGCTCAAAAATATAATTTATTTGGACTTTCTTCTAGGATCTAAGGAAGCCAATAAGAATCAAATTAATTATTATCTATCACCGATAGTTAATGACCTTAAGAAATTATGGAAGGGATGAAGAGTTCCTGAAACATATGAAAATAAAGATAGGCTCAATATAAGAGTTGCGATAATTGTAGGTTCTTCTGATATTCTGATTACAAAAAAGTTATTTGGACATAGATCTGCAGTAATGAATTGCCACAGGTGCCTGAAAAGAAGTTGATATAGTGAGAAGTTTCAAAAAACTCATTATGGTGATATGAAAGATTATGAACAATAGATTAAAGAATCTGCAGACCTCCAAGAACATAAATAATATGTTCAAGAATGGCTTAAATATATCACCAGAGGAACAAGGAAAGCTCATTTCAAAGAACACAGAGTACGATATACCTGTCACTCAAATTCAAAATCCAAATGCTGAAATTCCAAATGCTGAAATCCCAAATCCCAAATCTCAAATTATGATTAGTATTTTTTGCCAAAATCCCAAATCCCAAATTCCAAATGATTTGGGATTTGGATAATACATATAGAGTACGATGATCTGAATTACTTCATCTCTCTTATATAGATTCAATCAGATTCACAGTAGTGAATCCCATGCATTACTTGTTCCTTAAGATTGCAAAATGAATTATTCAATCTATATTTATTAAAGAGAATAAATTAAATTCTGAGTAACTTCGTATAATACAAAGGAGGATGGATAACGTTCAACTTCCATCTGATATTAATTAAACCTCTCCAAAAATCACTATTGGAGAAGGATTTTCAAAGCTCATCACTGATTAATGGAAGACCTTCATTATGATTTATGCAACAACAATTTTACGGGACATGTTAGATGATAATAATGGGATATTTTATTTGGACATGTAACTTATTGGTTACTAGATTTGTTACAGAAGACAATTTACAAGAAGCATAAGAATGATTAAAGGATATGTCCATAAATATAGAAAGAACTTATGGATCTGAATCCATTACAAGTAATATCCATTTATCAATGCATATGGGATTATAGCTCCATTTATAGCTTTTGACTATTTCCATATAAACAATTAAATAGATATATAGGTAAACTATAAATATCGGATATATGAATTATAGTAAATAAAATTTTAACACAAATCTTTCATAGGTTCTTATCCCAATAATAATCAGCAGATTGAACCTGAACTTATAAAAATAGTCTTTAAAAATTTGCTTGTAAATTATCATTTTTCTTGTCAATGGACATCTGATCTCTTGAAGAAGTCTTTTCAATTTCTTGCACTGAAAAAAAACTACTGGCAACTTAACTGTAACTAATGAATTTGATAGAGAAGAGTTACAGTATTTCATCTCCCTGAGACATGATACATCCAATAAGATCCATGGCACTGAATATATATCAGAATATATGCTAGCACCTACATATAAAAAGGTAAGTATTCCAGTAGAAGTTCAAAAAAGATTATGTAGGTGGTATGCAATATTATATAATTTAAAAAAGAAAGATATAAAGGCATGTATGGAAGTGATTATGAACCAACATGCAAGGTTAATAATAGGAAATGAAATATTTGAATTCAAAATCACAGGCCAATATGAAAATAATACAATAATTTTAGTAACACTGATCGAAAATTGATAAAACATATACATATCGGATATCCGATATGTGTATGTTTTATCAATTTTTGACCAGTGCAAAATGGAAGGTCTTTAGAGATAGAACAAGTGATATTTATCTTGAAGAGATACAATATTACTTTAAATATATACTTACCCTTCTGAATGGATCAAGAACATATCTTTTAGCCTATGTCAAATGATACAAAAATATGTCTTCCTCTAGTATTCGATTTAAGCATAAATTTATAATATCCAAGTATCAAATACAGAGTTGTGGAGAGAAGAATACTATGAGGAAGGTATAAATTCGATTATTGCAGTATATAGAATATATAGTCGAGCCATTAAGATAGATTATCGGGTTGGAAATAAGAATAAGAAAAATTATGTTTCAATAATTCCATTGAATAGAAGATTTAATGTTTAATTTATTTTATTTAATAATAAATAATAAAGAAATTATCTAATACAATGAGTATATAATAATATTGTATACCCGAATAAAATAATTAGAATACCATCTACTCGATATTACTATTTTAGTGTCATACACCTGATATTCAAGACAATATCAGGAACCTGAGATAATAATAAAATTATTTCACACCTATTACTATTATATTGGGCACATGATAAAATTTATAAAATTAATTATTGGGTACTTAGTAATAATCAATTATATTGGATACCCAATATGTTTATTCTTTTCCAATAGGTATCTGATAGGTGCCCAATATTATAAATATATTGGGTATCTGATAGGTACCCAATAAATGCCTGATATTTAAATTTTGACCTGTGATATTAAGGCTTGTAAACTCATATTAAAGTTTGTGAACTTATATCAAGGCTTGTAAACTTATATTAAGGTTTGCAAACTTATATTAAGGCTTATAAATTTATATTAAAGCTCATGAACCCATAAGGCTCAAGAGTTAGGTCAAGCTCAAATTATATGGATTTAACTTAACCTGAATTTAAATTTTAAATCTAGGTTCAAGTTTTTTGAATTGGTCATGCTTGAGTCTTATAGAGCTCAACCTATGGGAAGCTTTAATCATGTGATACCTACATAAACCAAAAAAAATTTTTTTCATAAATAGATTTCTCCAAATGTATATATTCAAATACTATAATTTTTAATTCAATTTAGCAATAAAGTTAGTAGTCAAAGGTGTATTGCATTTATGTAAGAGATCATTGGTCAATTCTCCAATCAGTGATTTAAAGATTTATCACTTTAAACCCTGTAATCACATATAATTACATCTAATCACTTCGTTAATTCGACAATGCAATTTTACTTTAGATATGTCAATCCAATTTTACTCCTGCAACTTACTGTAGAGTAATTTGTGCTGTACATATTACAAATGAATATTTTATAAAAATTACGCAGGTACAAAACGAAATATTATTATTGTATATATTCTTCAAGGTCGGATTATTAAAAGTATAATTATATTATTTTTGAATAAAGTGTCAATGTTGCCAACTTTTAATGTGATTGGAGGTTTTGTAGCATTAGAACATTTTAGCTTTCGTTTACAACGTTTAGAAATCGGGGATTTAATAGTATGTAAATCTACAAATCCTTGGAGATCTGTATGCAAAAGAATAGTAGGAATGGTAAAATTTATGCTTTCGAAATAGTTATAATTTATTTATTTTTTTTTTTTATCCAATAAATTAATTTTTTAACCAGGAGATCGAATATGTATAGACCCCACCGCCATTCAACTATTATATATATCTTTCATTCATTAATTAATTGATTACATCCGCCCAGTCAACGTTTGAGCAATTCTACAGATCCCAGAAGTTATGGACCCATTCCATATGCTTTGATTGGAGGAAAAGTATTTGCTGGAGAAAAAGTATTTGCTAGAGTAAATCTAAGATTCTTATTATTTGCACATATAATCGTATTACTTTTTTCTTCCTCCAGGTTTGTCCAAATTAAGAATGGTTTAATTACTCTCGAGGAAAATTAGAAAGTTAACTGTACCTTGATAATATTCAGACTTTGGACCTCCACAGTTTATATGTTGACAATGAATTTTATATAATCTAATAAAATAAATCTTGCAAGTCCAATAATGTGAGAAAAAAAAGGGAATTTAAACAATTAAAAAAAACAAAAACAAAAATGGTGCCTATCTACAAAGTGTTATTAATGAGCACAGAGTACAACAGAAAGATTCCAATTTACGCTATTGACTGCTCCTTTATGACCTGACAATGTTTCAGTCATTGCCGCGTGTTCACACGTAAATTTTGGAGTCTAAAAATTACAGAAATGAATATTATTCCTTCAATAAAAAAAAATATCAATTCTTAGAATTCTTAGTAGATGTACAAAACTTCACAAAAACAAGATCTAATGACAAATTTTCCTTGTAATAATTAATCATAATAACCCCTGAGAATTTATTACGTAAGTAGCAAACAAACATTATGATAAAAATGATATCATTTTTTAATTCAATCTGATAACTTGAAATAACTATGCGTGATAATCAATCTCCATAGTGTTTAGTAATAAATAATAATAATTCCGGAAAGTTCCCTGGACAACGGAGAGTCGCGAGGTTACCAATATTAGTATAGCAAATCTCCTTTGTTTCTATTTGTAAAATTTGTAATTATAATTATCTAATTATTATAACTGATATAGTTGAGATGCCCCGATCCACTTTATTTTATTTTTGGATTTTCTGTTTTACAATTATCTTAATTGTCTTAAAACTGTTACTCGGATTATCTTATATACTTTTATATAAAAGTTCGTCTTTTCTTCTTTTACCATTCTTCACTCTTCTTCTTTAATTCATCCTTTCTCATTTATTAATGTATTTCCTTTTTAGAAGAAAGTACGTAAAGGGAACTACTAATATTACAATAACTACCAACATTTTCATTATTATAACAATTTTTACTGTTTTTGTTTAGTTTCTAGTCGTCCACCTTTACTATTACTATTACTATTACTATTACTATTACTATTATCTATTACTATTACTATTACTATTACAATTACAATTACCTATTACTATTAATTATTATTATTGCCAATTACTATTATTATTTCTTTTAAAAATAACGATAAATAACAATGGATATTGTTACTAAACCACTCTTGAAAAGTAATAGAAAGCCATCTTATCAAAGTATAATAATAGGATCTTCTAATGAGTTGGTAATTGAAAAAAAGGATTTATCCACTTGGGACATGATTTTATTGACTATATGCATGGCAGGTCTTCAATTCACATGTGAGTAAAGAATATTATAATAATAATTATTGATTTTGTAATATTTATAAAGAGGAAGAAAAATTGGAATATTATATAAATTAAAAATCTATTTTTAAGTTTTATATTATAATCATTTTTGTTTGTTATTTTTGTTAATTTTTTATTTTGTTATTTGTTTTTGTTGTTTTCAAATTGTATAAAATTCTTATACGTTTCTTGTAAAAATAATAAAATAAAAAAAAATTATAGGGACAGTGGAGTTATCGTGAGTACCTTGGATATAAAAAATTATTTTTCATATTTTATTTTCATATTTAATTATTTTATTTTATTTTAATTAATTAATTCATTCATTCTTTTTTTTTTTTTTTAAAAAAAAAAAAAAAATAAATAAATAAAAAATAAACTTTAATAAAATAATTCTGACAATCATATCACTTACACTTAATTTCAGTTATGGTACACCATATTTGAGAAATCTGGGAATGCGATCTGAACTTATCTCACTCGTGTGGCTTGCCGGCCCACTTTCCGGACTTATCGTACAACCATTAATTGGTGCAATTAGTGATAAAAGTACATTTAAATTGGGTCGACGAAGACCATTCATAATTATTGGAGGATTTTTGGTTTGCCTTTCTATGGCAGGAATTGCTTATTCAATGGAATGGGCATCAATTTTATTAGGAAGGAAACCATCGTTAGTCAAATTTGATACTAATGATGAGGTAATAGAATATTAAATTATTTATTATTATAATTATTATTATTATTATTATTATATAAAAATCTTATTTAACTAATTATCTTTATAGGTTCGAAAAATGGCAATTATAGTGGCAGTTATTTCATTTTATTGTTTAGACTTTTCATTGAATGCGGTTCAAGCTTCTCTTCGTTCTCTCATCCTTGATATTCCTCCTTTACATCAACAAGAAACTGGTAATGCTTGGGCCGGTAGAATGATGCATATAGGAAATGTCATAGGATACTTCACTGGTTTCTTAGATTTAAAAGCAATATTTTCTTTTCTTGGTGACAGCCAAGTAAAAATATTATGCATAATTTCATGTATAGTATTCATATTTGCATTACTTATAACTTGTTTAAGTGTAAAAGAAGTTGTATATGAGGCATCTGCAATCGAAGATTCAAGGTATGTTAATAATGTTAATTACTCTTTATAACTTTATTATAACTTTATTATAACTTCATTATAATTTCATTATAACTTTAAATGAAAACTTTATTATTTATTTTTTCCAGACCATGGCATTACACATTTATATATATTTATAGAGCATTCAAATATCTTCCTGTTCCTATCCAAAAAATCTGTAATGTTCAATTCTTTTCATGGATGGGATGGTTCCCATTTTTATTTTTCAGGTATTATTTTCTACCCAAATTTTTTTGATGGTCATTTATTTTGTTTATTTTATCCTTTTCCCTTATATATATATATATATATTTTCATTTATTTATTTATTTATTTAGTACGAGTTGGATTACATCTGTCTATGCTCGAACTCACTCAACACAAGAAAAAGATTTCTTTGAAGTATCCACGCGTTACGGTTCATTTGCCTTATTAATTTATTCATTTGTTTCTGTGGCGGCAGGAATCATTATACCTCATCTTACTCCAACATCTTATCCCAGTAAAAATCCTTTCACCATATATAATATTTATACCGCATCACATATCATGTTTGCATTAGTTATGGTAAGTACATTCTTTGTGAATACGGTGGAACAATCAATTATGCTTATTGCCAGTATTGGTATTCCATGGGCAGTGGCAATGTGGGTTCCATTTACTTTGGTCGGAGAGTTTGTACAACAAAACGAAAGTAAATTAAATTTAATTGATGATGATAATAATAATAATAATAATAATGCACTAGCGGAATCATCATCATCTTTAGAAAGTTCTCTTCCTTTATCTTCTTCTGCTTCTTCTTCTGCTACTGATAATAATAATAATAAAGCAGGAGTAGATGAAAATGAATTTGATGCAGGAATGATTTTAGGTGTACATAATATGTATATAGTATTTCCTCAATTTATCATATCTATAATTAGTGCAGCAATAATTAAATTAGTGGAAGAGGTTACTCAAACAGGGGGAGGTATAGGTAATATAGGAAAAAACGATGCTTACGGATGGGTATTTAGATTTGGTGGATTAATGTCTTTAGTAGCGGCTATACTTTCGCGACATATAATAGATTTAAAAATTTACCGAAAAGATTGACGATGATCTCTTTTCCTTTATTTTTCATTTTGATTTCCATTTTGTATTAATTTTTATATTTGTTTTGAAAGTGCAAAATTAATAACTAGTGCCAATAAAAAAAAAAACCATCATTAAATTTTTTTATTTATATATTTATATAGACTACTAAATTTATAAATTTATTTTATTTATATATTTATATAGACTGATTATAATAAATAGATAATTTTTCTATCTGTTTTCTAAACATTTATTTTTGTAATTTGGGATTCCTCGTGATCATTACGAAAATATCCAATACAATATTAATTTTAGATTTATTAGAAGTTCTTGGAAAGAACATATTCAAAATCGTATACCACAAAAAAAAAATTCAGAATGTTTTTTTATCCCTTTTATATTAGAAACAATCACAGGCTTGATCATTTAACATGTGATATGTGATATAGAAAATAAAACGTTTTTCTAAATATTATGATGCTGAGGTCAATGGATAAAATTATTTTTGGAAAATTTTATACCTAACAGAGATATATCCGTAAGCATTTTTAATCATTTTGAAACCAGATATGTGCTTATCAATATCAATGTTATCATTACCAATGTTCACCAATATTCTTCATAATCTTTTAACATCTATCCAATAATATCTGATATTTGGCATTAACAAAAATAACATTTGGAGACATAAAACATAAATCCCGAACAAAGTTTTTTTAAAATAAATAAATATGGTAATCAATTTAAATTATATATTGAGACTGAAAAATTACACGAGTTAAATGAGAAAAAAACAGAAAAACAGTCAATTTAATTACACGAGTTAAATGAGAAAAAAACAGAAAAACAGTCAATTTTTTTTTTTTTTTGACAAATATAGTAGAAATATAGTTGTGTCACTAATTATTAACAAATTTCAAAATTGGTATTGTTATCTAAATGTTATAAGGAAATAACTTACATATACCTTTGAAGGAATGAAGAGAGACTGCAGAACTTTAGAATAGAGATATTAATGAATATATGTAAAATTTTTAGATGTGTGTGAAGGTGGAGAATGATGACATCTCACACGAATGGTACATTACACAGTTTTGAAATTTTGTTATAAAGAAATTTTTTGTTTATTTCTTGTTTTATATACTCGACTAACTTAAAAAAAATAAAATCATAAGAATTTGTTTGAATAAGGAAAACAGAATACTAACTACTAACGCCTAAATTTGGATCACGTGGTTAAGACTCTTTAATTGTGATAATAATGATTGGTGTTCTTGGCAAGCATAAATTGAAAGTTTTTTTTTTTTTTTTTTTTTTTTTGAGATTATATTCGTTACTTTATTATCATTATCATTATCATTATTATTATCATTATTATTATTAAATTTGTAGTAATATTAAAGGAAAAAAAATATTATTAAGTAGATAATAATAATAAGAAGATAATAAAGCAAATAAATAAATTGAAAAAAAAAATAATAATAATGGCTTCGAGTTCAGTTCCTAGGGGTAAACAAAATTCAGGATCGAGCGCTGGACGCACACGTCGTAATAATATTCCTATTCCAACTCGTCTTGATATTCCTTCAAATTCTCTTACACCATCTTCTTCAGCGCCTTCTTCTCTTTCACCACTTATTGTACCTGCATTGGTGTCTTCCGCAACTTTATCTAATGCTTCTCAAAAATTAACCACAGAGCTCATTTCTGCCATCGGAAGAACGACCCCTCAACCTAATGATGATGAAAATTTTAATTATAATTATGATATTAATAATCATAATAATCATAATAATCATAATAATCATAATAATCATAATAATCATAATAATCATAATAATCATAATAATCATAACAATAATAATAATAATAATAATGATGATAATAATAATTATGGTGGATTCATAAAAGAAGATCCAACGATTAATGTATCTCCACCTGAAGGAGGTGAAGAATTTATAGAAATTAATCCTGAACAATTAAAAGAATTGGGGAGGTTAGGTGAAGGCGCGGGTGGAACGGTGACCAAAGTCTTAAACTTATCAACAAATACTTTAATGGCAAAGAAGGTATGAAAATGTTGATCGATTTTCTTATATATATATCTATTTATCTATCTACCTATTCCATAATCATTAGTGGAATCAATGGAAAAAAAATTTAACGTGAGAGCATTTTTATTTTTTTAACTTATTTTATTTTATTATTTTTTTTTTGTTATTCTCTTTCTCATTCATTGTTATTCTCTCTCTGTTTTTCGTCTGGTTTTTGTTATATATATATATATCTCTCTCTTTTAGTTTAAAACAATTAAAAAATATATATATATATATATATATATCAAAAATCATCATTATTTTGATACATTTGACTAAATTCTCCATACATATATATATATATATAAAATATAAAAATATTATATATTATATTATATCAATAGGAAAAAATATCTATAAGGAAAAACATATATATTAAATAGGAAAGATTACAAGAGAAAAAAATTAAATGACTTTTTTTAAATAAAAAAAAAAAATCATGATAGAAAATCAATGTCGACCCCGATCCAAATATACATCGACAAATTCTACGAGAACTTCAATTTCTACGAACATGTAATTCACCGAACATTGTATCATATTATGGTGCATTCTTGGAAGATGATAATTCTTCAATATCGATTTGTATGGAATTTTGCGAGGGAGGAAGTTTGGATTCAATTTATAAGAATATTAGTAAAAGGCAAGGAAGAATTGGTGAATCAATATTGGGAAAAATTGGTGAATCGGTAATTTCGATTTTTTTTTATTTTATTTTATTTATTATTTTTTTTATTATTTTATTTTACTTTATAAATATAATTATATTTTTCTGCCTTTTTTTTTTTAGGTATTAAATGGATTAGTTTATCTCTATAGTCGAAAAATTATTCATAGGGGTAGGCAATTAATCCCTTTGATTATTCTAAATTAATTAAATTAATTAATTAATTAATTAATAAATAAATAAAAAAATAAATTTAGTAAATGTATTGATTGTATTCCTGTTTTTAACTCCTTATATATATATGTGTGTGTGTAAATATATATATATCCAATTATTTTTCATTACATTCAAATTAGATATAAAACCATCAAATATTTTGGTTACTAGAAAAGGGGAAATAAAAATTTGTGATTTTGGAGTATCAGGAGATTTAGTTTTATCATGGGCAAATACTTTTTTGGGAACGAGTTATTACATGGCTGTAAGTTGAATATTTTATTTAATATTTTATTTATTATTTAATATTTTATTTGACATTTTATTTGATTATTTCATTTATTATTTATCATTTATTATTTTAATATTCCTAATTTTAGCCTGAACGAATTCGGGGTCAACCTTACAAGGTATCAGCTGATGTTTGGTCTTTAGGATTAACAATAATGGAAGTTGCACAAAATCGATTTCCATTTCCATCGGTTGCACCAATTGAATTGGTTGCTCACATCGCTAACTTACCTGCACCTGAATTAAGTGATGAATATGAATGGAGTGATGATCTTAGAGATTTCTTAAAAGTTTGGTATGAATTATTTTCATTTCCTTTCATTTATTTATTCATTCATTCATTCATTCTTTTATATTCTCATTTATTTATTTATTTATTTATTTTATAATTTTTAATTTTTATTAAATATATAAAGTTTAGAGAAAAATGGAGAAATACGGCCAACGCCCAAACAAATGCTTGATCATCCGTTTATTCAAAAGTCATCCCAAAGATATATACCTTTGGAACGATGGATTAAAGAAGTTTGGGAATGGGATAACTGAATATAATAAAATAAATGATATAACAATAATATGAATTAGTTAGTCAGTCATTCAACTTTGGAAAATATTATATAATTATTACTGGAAATTATTATTACTCTTTCTTCTTTCTAATTCATATAATGAATTATTCCTATTGCAAATTCTTGTTCTTATTTTTTTTTTTTTGCAACAATGATATTATAATGATAGCACCTCTTTTTTTTTTTTTTTTGTATAAAATTTATTTGTGTTGTATTTTATATCCTATATTTTAATATATATTTAATGCAACAATATATTCAAATCAGAAATTATTATTATTATTACTTGTAAAATTGGTGATTATGCTGTTGAAAGAATTAATAAAAAATATAACAAAGTTCAATAATGATAATTAATGTTTTGAACCAAAAAAAATTAATACTAATTTTTTTTTTTAATAATATTTAAAATAAACACTAAATTAATTACAAATGATTTAATTTTTCTCTATAATTATAATATTACACTTTTCACTTTTTAATATCACTTTTTAGATTCACTTTTTTGGGTCACTTTTAAATATCACTATATTAACTATTAACTATTATCAATTATATTAAGTACTATTATCTATAATTATTAGTATTATTTATTCATCACATTTCTTTTTCTTTTTCTTTTTCTTTTTCATCAATAATACTATTATTAACATTATTATTGTCATCATTAGACAATAACTTATTATTTTCCAAAACAATAACTTCTGATTTCTCATCGATAGATTTGAAACCAGTATCACCAGATTCTATTGTTGTCGTTGTTATTTCAATGTTTTCAACTGATTCAATTTCGTTAGCTCCTTTGTTTTCCTCTTCTTTTTCTTCTTCAACAATAGTGGTAATTGTTGAAGGTTCGGTAGTTTCAGTTATTGAGATAGAATTGGAATTAGAATTGGAATTAGAATTAGAATTAGAATTAGAAGGATTTGTAAGAGAAAGATTTGTTTTTGCTGCAGGTTCCCTTGCTATTGTTGTAGTTGTGACATTAGAAATATTGGAATCATTAGAAACAAATGTGGTTATATCTGAATAATTATTATCATCATCCTTATTAACTAATTGTGGTGATGGATTTGGTGAATTAAGATGTGGAAATGAAGAAGGATCCCATGATAATTCAAATTTTCTTTTAAGTGATTGATATTTATATGTTTTAGGAATTCTATGTAAATATCTTTTTTTTTTTAGATTAGAATATTTTTGATATTAGTATTTATATGTTATAAGTGCATAAATTTTGGTATAAAATAAATAAAATGAATAAATTTTATACCCATAACCGACTCCACATCCCAAAAATCCTTCACCACCCCATTCGCTATTTGGAACAATAGTAACCTATAAATAAATAAATAAATAAATAAATAAATTAAATTATTATTTCTACAAAAAAATTATAAAATAAATTATTCTATTGTACCTCTCGACAAGCATCAACATCCGAATTATATACATAAAGGCGAAGAGGTCTTCCTAAATGATTATCTACCAAATCATAAAAATCACTTTCATTTCGCAACGTCTCATGTGGTGTTCCAATAACATAATCTGCTAAAGGAACCTAAATAAATCAATTTATTAACATTTATTAAATATTTGATATTTAATATTTATAAATTTTTTTTTTATTTTATTTTATTTACCAGACCAGCCATTTCCGCAGGACTTTTTTGAGCTATTTCTAATATATGCCAAACATGTTCATTGATTCCCTTATGATGTGATGTAATGAATGGTGATAAAATATTTTAATCAAGATTTGTTAAGTTAAAAACTAAAAATTAAACTAAATAAAAAAAATTAAATCGAAGGCAATATGTTCTCGAAAATACCTCATAAGAACAATACCGAATAATACATCCTATTTTTTTTAAAAAAAAAAAAATATTTATATATCTAATTCACTTTTGAACAAAAATAAAATAAAATAAAAAATAATAATAATAATTCATTATATATTTACCGATAATTCCATTTTCCGTATTATCCGTCCAAGTTTTACTTGGAATTAATTTTACCTCTATTATTATTATTATTATTATTATTATTATTATTATTATTATTATTATTATTATTATTATTATTATTATTATTATTATAATTATAATTATTATTATTAAGATTAAATTTGAGAAGAAATTTATATAAAAACAAGACAAACCCCTATATTCTTGTTCTTTGGTGGAATAAACCAATAATATTACTTCTTTATCAATATTAGAAAGTAATTTTTCTTGAAATATATGTGTATCCGGTTCCTATTGAAACCAAAAAAAAACGATGTCGCGATTAACCAAAAGCAAAGGGTTTAAAATTTAATTTATGCAAAAAAAAAAAACCCCCCCCGAAAACTTGGTCTTTTTACCAAAGATATCCCGTTGATCCCAATTATATAGTCAAAAAAGGGTTCTATTCCTGCTTTTTGAGCAGGAGATTTTTCTTGGACCTAAAAATTTATTAAATATATTGAGAATAACATATATATGGTAGTTTGATCCTTTGAATTCCCAACCAATATTATATTATTATAATATACACATTACAGATTACGTTTATGGAGTGTATTAACATTTATTGAATATTATAAAAGTTTTTTTTTATACCTTTAATACATGATAACCGTAACCATTGATTGAACTTTGGGTTCCTCCCATTATTATAAATTATATTATTTTTATTTTTATTATATATTATTTAATTATCATTATTATCATTTGAAAAACGAGAAATAATTTTATTTTTCAAATTTATCACGTGTTATTAATAAATTATTCTTTATTTAGTAATTATTATAATTTCGTGCAAATTATAAATACAATTTTTTTTGTTAATATCAAATAATTTATTTATATCTTTCTTTCTTTAATATTTTAATGTCAAATAATTTATTTAAATCATTCAAATCACCCTTTCTTCAATCAATACATTTATCGCACGAGAAATTTCCGTAACAGTGTTCATAATTTTTTCTCGTTGTTTATCTGTGGGAATTCGTTTAATAAACCGTTGCCAACGATCAGGATGAAATCGTATTTGTTCATTACGTAACATGGATTTTATTTCTAAACGATCATTAATTCCATATAATAAAAATTCTTCAACATTTTTTCGAGTTAATTTGGTTATATCTTTAATGGGCCAAGGAATATCTTGAAATTTAATTATTGAATCTCCTTTAATATCAAATTCATTCCATTTCTTGAAATATTCATTCCTTCTCTCTTGATTTAATTGATTTCGGTATCTTTTCTCTCGTCTTTCTCGTTCTCTTTCTTCTTTTTCTGCTTTTGCTCTTGATTCGGCTTTCCTCTTTTGTCGTTCCTTTTCTTTTTTTCGTAATTTTTCTTCTCTCATTCGTTGTTCTCTTAACTCTTGTTCATGTTGTTTTTCATACATTCCCTTACGAATGTAATTAGCATATTCTTCTTCTGACATATCATTAATTTCCGAAACTCTTTCATATGTATAACTACTACTACTGCTGTTGATGGTTTCTTGATAAAACATTGATGAAAAATCTTCATTATCTTCAGCCATAATATCAAATAAATGTTCTACCCAAGGTTTTTCATGTTTTTCTTCATAATTTCCATCACAATTTCCGTAAGATTTATTCTTAGAATTGTCACATTTAGAAGACTCCTCTTTCCGATCCGAAACGTAAGAGTTCTCCGAGTATTCTTTGTAAGTATAAGAAAATTCGGAATAATCGTGAGAATACTTTTGTCTTTTATGGGAATCAGTTGACCTCCTTTTACTATGAGAATTTATTTTATTTTTTTCATCAGAAAAATTTTCGTATCTTTCACTTTTTTTATGACTTGTAAACTGGCTTGAAGTTTTGCGAGACATTGAATAAACTTTTGTAATTATATTTTTTTTCAATATATAGGTTAGGTTTAGGTTACCCGAATCATGGTTCAGATAAAATAGATTGGATTGGTCAATTCAGAATTCAAATCTTGGATTGGACAAAATTCAAATATTTTAAACTTTGTATTCAAATATAGAATCAAAATCCATTTTTGATAACTCCAGATTAACTCTATAATTTAAATGTATTTTTTTACTACAGTCGACCCTAATCTAATGTCTGGGCCTTCGTTATAAAAAAATTCGTAAATGGCATCATAAAATTCGGTATAACGTATAACGAATATTTTTAGTAATCTATATTATATTTGATACTATTTATACTATTTATATGCAATACTTTGCTTCTTTTTTTTTTAATTTTTTCACATATTTGATTTCATTTTTTTTTATTATCATATGATTCCAATGGCTTCATTGTGAGTAATAATTGGCAAAGGATCTGGATTTTCTTCTATTTCATCTTTATTAGGAAGAGAATTTTCTTATTTCTACATCATCATAATGACATAATGAATAAATTCATTGGATCAAGATTTAGTTTAAAGACCCGTTAGATTTATGCATTGTGCCTTTTATTCAATATTTTATTTCTTTTTATCTCGTATTATAATTTTCTGTGAAGTTACGAAAGTTTTTCTTGCTTACTAATGCAAAGATATTTTTATAAAACAAAATATATCTTAAAGTAAAAGAATTCATGTGTTGAAAAGAATCTGCCATTGCATTGGAAAGAAGATGAGCTGTTTTGTTGTTAAAGAATAAATATGAGGAATTAGGAGCTATAATTATACATACCAGGTAAATATTTTTACTAAGTGGAGTTGAGTTATTATGTATTTGAATTGAAAGCTCTTCGTGGCCACAGTTTTTTCTGTGAACGTTCTTCTTGGTTATCAATTTCACCATGTCACCTTACTGATGTTAAACAATGAATAGGATACATATATGATGATGAAACAAAACTTATTTTATTTCATTGATTTAGGAAAGTGGATCAATAAAAACTATTAATAAGATAAATAATGGTGATAAACAGAAAGGGAACTCAAGTGAGCAAACTTAACTAAAACTCTTGAAAAACATTCATTTTTTTTGTTTTGTTGACCAATTTTTTTAAAAAGTATCATATTGTATATTACAGTCACTCTAAAATACAACTAAATAACCATCCAGCACCCTAGCTTCGTTATAGCAGGATAACAAAGAATTCAGAAATTTGATTGGCCGATTTGTTGTAGCGAGGGTATTTTATTATATCCAAATTAAAAATTCATTATATCGAGACTTTGTTATAATGAGAGTTGACTGTAATTCACAAAAGAATAGGCGTACCAAAGGGGAATTCCGATTTTAGCTAATTTATAATATAGGATGCAATAGGACAGTCAATTTTATAATATAGGAATTCCAATTTTTAACTGATTTATAATATAGGAATCATCATTTGGTACAGTGATTCTTTTGTATTCGACTAGTGATTGTAATAATAAAAATATTGTGACAACCAAAATAAATAATTTTACAGTCAGTTAATTATTTGATATCATCTTCCTTTTTTTCATTTCAATAAAATAATTCATCATAGATTCGAATATATCACCTGTTAAGACTCAGAAAAATACAATGGTTATGTGCTATACAAAAAATCAAAGGTAACATATTATTTTATACAGGCAAACAAAATCATATAATTGTAAGATAAATACTTTTCAACAAGCATTTCATTTATAATGATATTCATATCTTTTTAACTTAAGTTTTGAATGTATTTAAGTTATAAAATTAATGATGTCAAGAGGTTCTCAATTTTTTTTCACATTTAATAACAAAGAATATGAATAAAATGATATTACACAATTTATTCTGTTGGAACAGTGATCTTAAGTATTACTGATTCTCTTGATCTGTAGCTAGTGCAAAAGATATTTATAATAGTTTTTATCATAGTAAAGAGAAATAGTAAATTCTTAAAGAAACTTTGAAAGAGCTCAATATGTTCAGTTAATTAATATAAAAATATATTATGGGTTATATTCCAATCTTATAATTCTATTTATTTGTATAGTACTTCACTTTATATTGTAATGAATAAAAAAAAACTTTTCACTGTTATAAAGAAATTTATCTTAATTCTAATGGTGATAATGATATCCTATATATAAAAAATGGTATACCATATTTTGTGAGCCAAAGTACCTTGAATAAATTACAAATTTTCAAGTATTTCATTTATATTCAAGATACAGTAATTTATACAGTGTAATGAACTTGTTTATATTCATTATGAATTGAATTAATAAATTATTTCCATCAAGAAATAACAAGACAATAGATGAAATACTAGTTTAAATCAAAAAATAATTCTCTCATCTAACAAATACTACCTGTAAAAGTTTCTACTTTTTCTGTATTGTTAATTGATTGTGAGCTTCAAAAGTTAAGAAAACATTATCAATTTAATTAAGCAAAAGTTGAAGTTGTTTTTTTTATTATAATGTTTTATATAACAATATATAATACATTATATAATAATAATAATAATAAAATAATAATGTAAATCAATATAAATCAAAATACATATATAACATAAAATAAAATAAATGTACATGATTTTTGTTTAATATCACTATTAAAGAGTAAAAATCAGAGGTCAAAAAAGATATTGTCCAGTTATAAAAATGGTTTGAAGGCAAGTTACTCTCTCCCTTCCTTTTCTCTCCAATGCCATAATTTGTAGGCAAGTGTGAAGTCCTGTTAAGTCCCAAGAAGAAATAACATACTCCTATAACTACAGTCAGACTAGACACCTGACTTTAGACCTGCCATGTTTTACAATTCTGTGGAAGTGGGAACCTTTATTCACAGTTTTGAGAAGGGATACATACTTGTACAACTATAGTCAGGCTGGATGCCTGACTTTATGACATACCTATTGTGATCTAATTGCACACTTATAATTTTTAATAGCTCTTTTTACAACATATATTTAATATTAATTTTCTCTGTAACTTTATCAGGAACATCAAACAATTGACATTAGTCAAATATAAAAGAATCACTGTATTGAATGGTAATTTCTATATTATAAATTAGCTAAAAATCAATAAAAATTAACTATTCTATTGTACTTTATATTATAAATCAGTTAAAATCAGAATTCCTTTTTGATATGGCAATTTTTTTGTATTTGATCTGTGTGATACTGTTAAGATTTGTTGTTTATCAAATATTACATTAATAAATTTTCTTTTACTGAAATTATTTTAATTCATATATGGAAGTAACTTGCAAGTTCATATGCAGATCTTCTAAAGTCATTAATGTAGCACTTACTAATGTTGAAGAGAAGATAATATAAATAATTTTAATCTAATATGTTAATTAAGAATACTAGTTGACTTAATTTCTTCCAATTTTCTCAATTCTACTTATTCAGGTTCTAACAATAAGAAGGCAAATAATATTAATGCAAGAAATGATAATATATAAATTTTGATTACTAATTTGAATTTTCATGAAAGGTCAAAAAATCTGCATTTCAGTTTTTGTCATGTGTTTTATGTAATATATTCTGTAAAAGAAATTAGAAATCTGTGTAAATAATCAAATTTTTTTTCTTGGAAATTTCAAAGTTCAATATCACACAAGAGATTTTTACTTCTGACCTTTGCTATAAAGGTGAACAGTCATCTTGTGTTGATTATAGCATGTACAATTTTTTATAATGCTTATACTTCTGTTTTATAGAGTACTTTTTGAATTCACCTTTCCAAAATTGGACAATTGGATTCAAAAAAATCCATCTACAGTGATGTTCAAAAGTATTGTATCACCTGACTTTTGCCTTTAAAAAATTCTGCCTCCTGAATTATTGATTTTAGAACAATAGTTACTATACTCATTTTAATCTTTAAGTTTTGAAGAACCTTTTAGATTTTTTTTTGTGCCAAATTAATAATGCTAATTTTTCGCAAATGGATAATTGATATAATAAAATTTTATATGACACAGCTACAGTAATAATCATCATAGGATTGATTATCTCTTCCAAGGAGAATTAATATATCAAATTTTGTAATGATCGGACCGGTGATTGTTTACATAATTCACTTTCAAAAATTGAAATTTTACATATAAAATATTCTTTTTTATTGTTTCATATGTATGAATTACGTAGCAACCACTGGTCCGATCGTCACGAAATTTGGAAACCCTATGATGATCATCACTGTAGCTGTGCCATATAAAATTTTATTCAATAATCGAAATTTTACTAAGTGTCAGTTGTTAATGTCAATCATCCATTTGACAAAAAAATCAGTATTATTAATTTGGCACAAAAAAAAAATCTAAAAAATTCTTCAAAACTTAAAGATTAAAATGAGTATAATAACTATTGTTCTAAAATCAATCATTCAGGATAAAATTTTTTAAAGGCAAAAAGTCAGGTGATACAATACTTTTAATTGCCACTGTATGTATCAAAAGTAAAGTCGAACCCATACTTCATTATCTAAAGAGTTGAATCTTTTTTCCTAAGTACCTGATCAAAAGATGGTTGATAAAGTGTTGTTGTTAAAGAAGCAACTAAAGATTAGTTTATGTGAAAGAAGACGTGTTGGGTGCTTCCTTAACTCGATAAGGAGGAGAAATGCGATGGCTTCACTGTGTGATTCTTTCGTGTGTGTAAATGTTTGAACAGGTATACTATATCCCCCAGTGCTTCTGAAGATGGGAAGGAGAAGTGCAATGGCTTTGCTGTGATTCTTTCGTGTGTGCACCTTACTTACTGACGTTCACAAAAAATACTGTATGTCGCTATTATTAATATTGAAGATTTTCTAAAGTTCTAATTTTTTTTTCAATAATTATGTAAGAATGGATCATCAGAAATCTGCAACATCATCTGGAATAAGAGCAAAGAAATTACAGAGTCCAATTTTCATTTATCACTCAGTGAATTACTAGCTAAGGTAGGTGATTCAAAACTTAGATTATGTTATTATAATTGTTACAATTATTTTTTGCTATTTTTAAGACAAATATCAAGATGTCACTTGTTGATGAAATAGGAAGCCAAAGGTATTTCTTTTAAAGAATTTCTGAACTTGAGGCCAAAAAGGCTGAGCTAGAGGTCAAGATATATTATCTCTTTTATGGATTTCGCCTCAATCAATATTATTAACATAGATGAAATTGACATATATGAGATGTCCAGAGTTTGTTGCGAATATTATAAATCAATCAAAAAAAAAAAAATCTGTGATCTCTCCAAAATTTTTGAGACATCTCAAAAAGATGGGATCTTATGTGTCATCTGTGGCAGATATAATAGTATGTGCACATAATAAAAATACAAACCCTTTTTTTTTAATATTGAATTATGTAGAATAAATCCTGTTTTATAACAGATCAACCTATATTTTCATGGGAAAATATTATCAAAAGGTTTATTGATGATGAAGAGTATAATCTTTTTAACAAATGTTTGGAAATTCCTTTTTTAATAGAAAGAATAGAAAAATATACTGACAAAACCACGCAACAGTTTCAACTGGACCGTAATAATATTAAACAACACATATACTTACATGCAGAAATGAACATATTGACTAGTATGGTAAACCATGAAGATAAAAATAGGGTGATAGGAGTATCCAAAAGATGTTGTTACTTGTGTGAACTGTATATTGATTTTGCACAAAAAGAAGGATATAATATCATCATTTCTGGAACACACAAGAAAATATATCATGGATGGAAACTTCCATATCTAACAGATAACGACTTCCAACCCAAATCCCTGAAATCCATCATGGAAAATCTTGATCGAATCATAGAGAACAAGATAAAACATTATACTAGTAATTTATTGGCAGCTTCTGATAGTTCTGCAGAGAAAATCGTGATGAATTAGATGAAGTTCATAAATATATACGAGTTGGGAAAAAATAATGCTTAACGTAGTAATTGCAGGAGAATATTCTATCAAGGGTTCAAAAACGAAATTTATTTCTTGTAAATGAACTATGAATGTAAAAAGTTGGCGCCAGTTAACAAAATTTAGCGAATTTAAACCTTTACATCATTAACCTTAACTAGTATCATATAAATTATATTTTCACTTTCGTGAGAATTAATGTTACATCATCACGTATGTAAACCAATAAATTTACTAACATTTTTTTAGTATATTAATGACCAAATGATCAGTGTTTGAATGTTTGAATTCAAATTTTTAAATCCTGTTACCTTTTTTTTTATGTGCGGAGTTTTCAAATTTTGTGCTAGCTGCTGCGAATGATCAACGTAGTAAGAGATCTACCCTAGTGTAACTTTTAAATAAAATTTGATCGATTGTTAGATGTAAATCATTTTAATTATATTTTTTTAAGAATGGTTCGAACATGTGTAATTTGTAATAAAGAACGAGCGATTATTAAGAGACCCAAAACAAGACAACAAGCCTGTCGGGAGTGTTTTTATTATGTATTTGAAACAGAAATACATAATACCATAATAGACAGTAAATTATTTAACAAAGGGGATAAAGTTGCTATTGCAGCATCGGGAGGGAAAGGTAACAAATATTTGAAACTATTGACTTTCACAAATATTTCTAAATGAATGAACAAAATAATCTAAATATTTTCATTTGATTCATTAGATTCTACGGTATTAGCATATGTTTTGAAATTATTGAATGAAAGATATCAATATGAGATAGAACTTTTTTTGTTGTCTATTGATGAAGGAATAACAGGATATCGAGATGATTCATTGGAGGTGAAATATTATTCATTATTTAAATATTATTTAATTTATTATTTAAATATTATTTGATTTATTATTTAAATATTATTTATTAGACAGTGAAAAGAAATCAACAACAATATGATCTTCCTTTAAAGATAGTTTCATATAGTGAATTATATGGTTGGAATATGGATCAAATCGTCAAAGAAGTTGGATTAAAAAATAATTGTAATTTTCTTTAATATATATATATCAGTTGATTGTCGAAAAATTAGAAGCGAGAAAATTTTATAAACATTATTTTCATTATTCTCATCGTTTATCTTTAGGTACATTCTGTGGTGTATTTAGACGTCAAGCATTAGATCGAGGAGCAGTAATGTTGGAAGTGGATCATATAGTTACAGGACATAACGCAGATGATATTGCAGAAACAGTTTTGATGAATAGTTTGTAATTTAAAAAATTGAATAAAATAATATCAAAATATTGAAATATACAAATTATTATGAAATATTTATATTTCTTTATTTATTTTTATAAAATAGTTATGAGAGGTGATATTGCGAGACTTTCAAGATGCACAGAAATCTGTACAAATGGAGATGAATGCATACGAAGATCTAAGCCATTCAAGTATACATACGAAAAGGAAATTGTTATGTATGTGATATTGTGATTATATGTTATTATTATTTTATTTATTATTGGGATTATATATTATATATTATATATTATTTATTATTTATTATTTATTATTTTAAATTTTATAATTTAATTAAATAATCAATTTAATAATTAGGTATGCTTATTTCAAGAAGCTTGATTATTTTTCAACTGAATGTGTATATTCCCCAAATTCATATCGGGGTCATGTACGTACTTTTTTGAAAGATTTAGAAGGGATAAGATCTATTGCCATTATAGGTATTTAATACTTATGTATATATATATATATATATTTATACGTAAACAATTAATTATTATTTCATTATTATTATATTATATCTCATTTAAATTTATTATATCATTTTATTATTCTATTTAAAGATATTATACATTCAGGAGAAGCATTTGAGCTTAAAAAAGATGTGAAATTACCAATTCAGGGAGTATGTAAAAGATGTGGATATATGTCAAGTAATGAATTTTGTAAAGCGTGTGTATTATTGGAAGGTTTAAATCGTGGATTGCCAAAGTAAGTAAATAATTATAAATAATTATGAATAAATAAATGAATATAAAATAATAATTATGAATATATAATATTATTTCACATCCATTGCATTATTATAGGCTTGGTATAGGAAAGACTAATAAAATGGTAATTATTTTTATTATTCATATTATTCTTATTGTTCTTATTGTTCTTATTATTCTTATTATTCTTATTGTTCTTATTGTTCTTATTATTCACAAATATACAATTACCTCGATTTTTTTTTTTCACTATATTTTTTTTATAATTTTTCGCCAGCTTAAAAAATATGGAAATATGTCGGAAGGTATGGCCACAATTCCAAAATTTATGAACAAAAATTCTGATTCAGTTGGCGAACAATGTTAAAAATAAAATAGTGACACTTTAATTCATTTAATTTATTTAATTAATGGGGAAATATATTTATTCAAAAATAAATAAATAAAATTAATCATTGTTAATCTTTAAATTATCTAAATTAAATTATCATCGTTAAATTAAATTAATCACTCAACAATTCTTTTATATATATATTTTCCTTTTGATGTAACATTCGGGCACAAAAGTATCAAGGATCGTTATTAATAAATTGACCTTCTGTTTTAGAATGTCGATAACATGAATAACCTCATTATTTTAATGCAGGTATGAGGTTAATATCTTGATCTTATCCGAGTTTATCAAATTATGCCATTGAGAGACACATCTGAGGGTTTCGGATGTATATAAAAAATGCAGTAAAGACTTACCTTTACAAAGCAAGAACGGTCACCGGCTGAAAAGCCAGACGTGAACAAGTCTTACCTGTAATCTAAAAAAAAAAAAAAAAAAAAATCAGAAATCTTTTTATCAGGTAGATCTTTAACTGTAACCGTAACCAATCATAGCTCAGTTCAAAAAAACATAAATAGGCTAATAGGTACACCACACGTTAAATCACATATCCAGCCTGCCTATTTGCTACCTGTTTTTCGACCTGTGAACAATCATTTCAAATAAAGTTTAATATTAACAAAGACAAGAGAAATATCCTCAGTGCCAAATAGTGAGATTTGAATGTTAACTCAATCGAGCTGAATCAAAAATGTGAATAATCAGCAAATGTTAGTGTGAACTTCACGATATTACACATGACTGCTCATTTAACACGGATTTACGGATTTACGGATATCCAAGACTCCAAAATATTGATCCGATTTTTTTACGCTGATAATATAATATAATGAAATGAGCTTTACCATAAATTAAAAAAAAACAAAGTTTTATCCCAAAAAGACAACTTACCCCACCCACATTTGACCATTGGATTAGCATTGATTAACAGAGTGTATGTGTGTATCAGAAAATGTATGCTATTACCATATTTAATGTTAATATCAAAATTACTTGTGATTTTATGTCAGTATTTTCAGAAGCACTCGAAATAGAATAAAATGATGGAATATTAATGAACTGTTTTCGAAAATAACTTTTATGAAAATATGATTTCAGATTCTTCTATTTGAAACCGTAATAAAGACGAAGTTCATAATTTTAACTCTTTTATTTCTATTTTAAAAAATTTAATTTAATAAATAAATAAATAAATAAAAAATATTATTATAACTAAGTTAAATTATACTGTTCGACAGACCAACTTTTTCGCAAGGAAGAATTATTCATTAACAATTGCTAATAAAAACGACAAGAATTAATGTCTTTAATGTCATCCCGTTTTGATTGTTAAAAAATAATAATGCATGCAATATATTCTGACATTTTCTAAATAAAATTTTCATGTTGTCATGCGGACATCATCACATATCAACAATACTACTTTTAGTTTAGTGTTATCTGGTAAAAAATAATAATAAATAAACGTGTTATTTCAATTTTTCGAAATCATAAAACCTCCCCCCCCCCCACTCTTTTTTTTTCATTTCAAATTTCTTATCTCTTCTAAATCAAAGATGAATAATGAAATATTTTCCCAAGTTTTGGGTTATATTTCTATAGCTTGTTGGGTCGTTGTTAGCATTCCGTAAGTATCGGCTAATTTTTTTTTATAAATTTCCACACAAAATAAATAATTTATTTTATATCATTAGACAACTTTACGAAAATTATAAACGAAAGTCGAGCGAATCTGTATCGGTTACTTTCCTTATTTTATGGCTTTTAGGTGACACTCTCAACTTGATGGGTTCAATACTGCAGAACTTAATATCAACTGTGGTAAATGTTATAAATGTTTCGATTAATGACGTTTGCAAATCACGATAAACTTTTTTCTGTATATTTTTTTAGATTCTACTTGCAGTCTATTATATTATCTCTGATATCGTCATAATTGCCCAAGTTTTATATTATCATAACTATAAAAGACCCGATGAAATTGTAATCACAAGTGCCGATGAATCGATACCTTTACTTCGAACACAACAAAATTACACTTCCTCTCCCCCTTCGTTTTTTTCCCGACATAAACAATTTTTCGGAATATTAGGTGGAATTATTTGCGTTTTTTTGACCGGAATAGTTTCCTATTGTATATCGTCTATATCACTGGAATTCAAAAATAATGATGATATGATTTTTGAAAAACAACGAATGAAATTTTTACCTCAAATTTTAGGTTGGCTTTGCGCTGTTCTTTATCGTAAGTTTATTTTATATATTTTTATATACATATATATGCATGTATGCGTACTTTATTTATTTTGTTTTTTTTTTTTAAAAAATATATATATATATATATATATATATATTCTAATTTTTATTCCTAATTTAGTTGGATCGAGAATTCCTCAAATTATTAAAAACCACAAGTCAAAGTCTACAGAAGGTTTATCACTGGCAATGTTCTGTTTCAGCGTATTAGGAAATATCACTTTTTGTTCTTCAATTTTATTTCATTCAACAGAACATGAATATTTATTGATAAATTTACCATGGTTATGTGGAAATGGTGGAACTTTATTTTTTGATTTTGTGGTAAGTTCAATATTTATAAATCCAATTCTATTAATTATATATATATAATTTGACTTACATTTTGAATATTTCTTTATAGATATTTGCACAATTCTATATATACAGTAATAACAATAATAATAATAATAGTAATAATAATGATAATAATAGAATTATTGATGCATAATTAATTAATTAGAAAATTTAGTGAACCCAAAATAGAACTTGTCATTTAAATAATGTGGTACAATGGAATTTTATAAATTACTATATTCATTTTCAAAATGTTTGCATATTGATAGAACATATATATAAAGTTTTTAAACCATATTAAAAAATATACTGCCTAATTTTTAACAACGTGAGCCATTATGCATTAATGCATTATGCAAGATATGCAAGATTTAACATTTTAGATCGTCTTACAAATTTGGTGCGACAATCGATTGATGTGGATAATGATATTACGATCTCAAGAAAGTTTTAAAGAGAGGAGGACGTTTTGACGATTTTGCAATTCACATTATGGAGAGTTAGCATCAAACCCAGTCAAAATTAAAAATTAAAGATATTCTTCATGATGTATAAACGTTGAATTACAAGACGCAATATGTAGAATTGGAGGGTTTATTGTAAGATCAACCGTTGCTTATTGGTAAGCGAGTCATAATAATTTTAGTTTAAGTATCTGGTAAATAACCGTTGTATCATTTCTCATCTGTGCTGTGTCATATTTTTTGTAAATATTGCAGTAATTTGGTTTTTCAAATACTATTTTTCACTTCATCGTTAAGCCTCCTCTTCTCTAACTGAGGACACTATCAAATTTCCTAAAGTTTTCATTCTGTCAAAAATTTAGATCTCATCCGTTATGCAGACTATCCTTTTTTTTAACAATCCCTATGTTTCAGTAGAACCTGAATTTGTAATTAGAATAAAAAATTGACCCATACTTTATGACTTTAATAACTTTTCAATAATTTTTATATTAAAATCACATGATTTCTAACTAGATCATCAAAGACAATAACCATTTTCCAACTTGAATTTTTGAATTTCAAAATATCTGGTAGGTTTTTAGAACCAATTAATTTGAATCATACATCTTCAAACCATGTGTATTTTTTATCTATAGCAATAAATTCATAAAAATTTTTGTACTGCTCTCCATAGCTTCTCATCCTGATATTATTTTCAACTGACCATTTCAAACAAAAACATTATATAACATAATACTAATACTATATTCTCATATTTTTATGTCAATTTAACAAAGTCCAATTTCAAAAATACCATTTTTTATTTTTTAGTAAATTTTTTTTTTCAATTTAAACTAACTATAAAAAATAGTAAATATAAATATTAATTTATTTGTTAAAGTAAATATAAAGAGTAAAATAATTTGGAGATAAAATAATGTCAAAATATTATTTAAAAAAGAGAAATTATAATAATTTATATATAACAAAACTTTTCATTAAAATATGTAATAAATAAAAATATATTTTATTCATATATTATACAAAACTATGTAATACAAGAAAACTTCCAAAAAACAATAAAAATGAAGAAGTATCAGAAGTAATGGTGATATTATCAACTCCAAGATTTGCTTTTACTTCAATATTCACTTTTACATCAAAATCAGCATCAAGATCAATAGCAACAACAAAATTAACTTCAAAATTAATATCAAAATCAACTTCTTCCATGTCAAATTTTATTATATCAACTTCTACTATATTAACTTCAAAATTAATATCAAAATCAACTTCTTCCATGTCAAATCTTACCATATAAACTTCTATTACATCAATTCAATTTGCATCTTCTCTAATTTCTAAAAGAAGATCTCAATTATCATCTTTATTGAATGTTGAAGAAAACAAAAAAAGTGAACTAATAAATTTGAAAGTAATAAATATTATATATTAATTTTTAAAGATAATTGATGTTATTATTTTAATTTAGATGAAAAAATGAATCAAAAAATAATAAGTACACTATTAGAAATAAAAAGAAATACTACTGAAATAAAAAAAGAAGTTTCTGAAATATGCAAAAATGTAAATAATTCCAAAAAAAGAATAAGGAAGTGAAAGAATTATATTATACTTTATTTCTATATACATATATATAAATTAATTTTAAATGTTTTTACAGAAATTAACTTGTATTATATCAAAACTTTTTATAGATATATATTCAGATATTGAAAAATTAAACAAAAAAACAAAAAACTACTTAAAAACAAATGATCCCAGCTGGTTCATATAACTAAAATGAATTTTACAATATTGACAAGTTTATAGTTTACTAATAGTACCCACATACTATAAACTGTCACATGACTAAAATGGTTTTTGTGATATTGATGAATTCATAGTCTATTGATAGTACCAATCATTGTATATCAAACAATGTAATCTATTATTAGAATATATGATTATTATATTGGTGATTGTACCTGGTTTCCATTGTTATATTATATATAATTATTGTTTAATACATAGTCTATAACAATAGTATATTTGCTGACTATGAATTGTTGGTGGTGTCACATGGATAAAAAAAATATCTAATGATATATTTAATTATTTGTTATCATTTATAGGGTTGACAAGTTAATTGCAATTTGAGTATTATCAGATATACTATCAAGTATATATTATTAAAACAGTCAGTGTGCATGTTAGAGTTATACCAATTTTTATATTAAAAATTTATGTGTAACAATTTAATCAAAAGTTGTTTCTAAGTAACCATTAATTATCTAATAAAAAAATAAAAAATTTTTTTTATTTAATTATTTGTTAATATTTTATTATATCAAAACTTTAATTTATTTTTTGAAACAAAACTCTAAAATTCTTTTGTATTAGACTTTAAACTTAATAAAAAAGTATCTAATTATCTTTATTTTTAACAATATTTTTTATATAACTACTTTTTTAAATTATATGTATTAGATTTTTTTTTATAAATGTAACTTATTTTTAATATAATAAAACAAAGATAAAAATATATTGAAAATTAAATTTGTTAAAAAACTTTATTTTCTTTTTCAATAAAAGATAAAAATAAAAATTTTAATTTTAATTTTTCTGACCATTTAAACTGAGTTTACATTTATTATTGATTACTATTTTTATTTCATTTATGGTGAGAGATATATTGACTTATTCTATTTTTACAGTAGTGGTTATAAGTATCCGACCTCCTGTATAAATAAATACTAAGTTATAAAAACTTCTCAAATTTTTCAGGTATAAAGTGTGACATGACACCTGATCACCAGTACTTTTACAGGATCGTGTGATATTTTTGAATGCTCATCTGATATTATGTCACAAAAATGAAACTTTTTCTTGAAAAATGATATAAAATAATTTTTTTACATGAACACCTAACAGGACTGAAGTGGAGTTTTGCAAAAATAGCATCCTATATTCACTGTTGTAAGACCACAGTTATTTATTGGATCAAAAAATACTATAAAAATAAAGATCTAAGTGATGAAGAAAGGTTAGGTCATCTGCGATCACTGGTTGAAAATTGATAAAATATACACATATCGGGTACCCGATATGTGCATGGTGTGTCCTTAATATCGGGCATATATCGGGTACCTGATAGGTGTAGAAAATATTTTATATATATATCGGGTACCCGATAAGTGTAAAAAAATATTTTCTACACTTATTGGGTACCTGATATATGCCTGATATTAAGGATACACCATGCATATATCGGGTACCCGATATATGTATATTTTATCAATTTTCGACCAGTATTAGTCTTTATCAAAGAAGTTCAGATAGAGTACTAAATTCATCTTCCAGTTCGGAGCAGTGATATTGACTACTGGAGGTTAGGTATTTTGTAGCTGGAGTACTAGGACAGCCAATTGAGTAACAAATTGATCTAATTCTTATGGCTATTGATTCATTATTTCAGGTGATATATAGATAATTATTTCTTGTTCTTCTTCTGAACTTTCTTCTTCTATTTTAAGCTTAGTATTGTAATATTCTGGAGCTTCTGAATTGGGTAAACTTTTGGATAAAAAAGGGAATCAGAATAATGAAAGTTTAAAGGTATTGGTAAAAAGGGTTTCAGAACTTATCTTGAATAATTCTATTTAAAAATGGATAGGATTTATTTGTATTTTCCATACAACCAGTATCAAATTAATATTACCCGTTGGGAGAGCAAGAGAATAAGTACAACAAGTACTTGGGTTTAGCCTAGTAATTATCAGTAAGTTTTGGAAGTATGAAAAGACAAATAAATATAAAGTAACTAATTTTATATATTATAGAACAATAAAGACAAGGAAACTAGATAAAACAAAGAGGGACAAGTTAAAGGAAAAATAGTAAATACAGAGAAGAGAAAATATGGTAAATTCTAGCCTGATGACAATAAAGAACAAAATAAAATAGTTTTACTAGGACTTTGTAAGGATTTTGAAGGATGGATAAGTTCAAAGAATGAAGAAAGTGAGTTCTGGCTAAGTCACGTGACAGTTTGAGTGAAGAATTGAAGATCAATGATTTATTTAAGACTCTAGATTATACAATATAGACTTTACTTATAATTTATAAACAAATGTAAAGGAATAAATAAACATGTATATAACTTATTTATAGACAAGTATCAAGAAATTTTTGAGGACAAATATATCCGGATAAATTTTATAATATGCAGATATATGTGGATATATTTGGAATATGCGAATTAATACGTGAGTGGTCGAATATATCCGAATATATATTTGCGAATTTATCCGAATATATTGCGAATTATACTTGCACGCAAAATTATTTTGGGGTCCCGAAATTGTAATTTCGGAGAAAAAAGTTGAAATAGTTTTTCATAGAAAATGAAATTATTTTACTTAAAACCTGAA